ACTAGAAAAGATTGCGCAACTTGTAAACTACTATATTATAACTACACTACTGCATACTTCTAATACTACTGCTGCAGCAACCGTTACAGTGACGAGGTCCAGTTGCAGCAATGAATGGGAATGTATGTGACTTAATGGACCGAAACATTCCAATCCAGTTTTCACTTTTAATTCTAATTATTACTTTCCTTGTAGTTACAATCTTTTTCATAACTTCAAAAACATTCAAATTATGAAATATAGCCGATCAAAATATCCAAATATATGTCCAATTCCGAAAACATAGTAGTTATCATTGCAATCAAGACATATGCAGGGGTTTTTTTTCCAACTTGCACAACTTCAGGACACTTCGAACTCGTAGATCACGCTGGTGGAATCATATTCGCTTTTAACTGAACTCAGCGGAAAGAGGATTTACCTATTCATTTCCTCCTCTCCCCGTAGCTTTTTCCTTCTTCCCTCCCCCCCCTCCCCCGTCCTTCTCCTCCCACCTGCTTGTTCTCTAGAAATTCTACCAACTTGATTCACTCCCGCCTTTGGTACTAAGTTCTTTCTCGCACGATTCAGCTCTAATTAAAATCTTACTTCTCCACAACAAATCCTTGGCATATTGGTACAATCCAGTCATCGGTACCAGGTAGTGGGAATCCGTTGTCATCGTAGAGATCTGCAAGCATTGCACGATTCCAAAAGAAGCATTTGTTCGTCTGTTTTGTTGAGAAGTTCCTGAAATTAGAGGATGGATAATTGCTACTGGGGATTTTTTTAAACGGTATTTTTAGAAGCCCGAATTACAGCAAATGCTTTTGCCAATAGGAAAACCAGTCCTTCTACGACTCGTTCAATCGTTTCGATGGTAAATTGGTATTGGCACGTGGCAGGGAATCAAATCTTCTATTAGCTTGCTTCTAAGCAACTCTCGAGAGAAACCACTGAAGCGATTGCTGTTGGCACGTGCTACCACTCGGACCAGTTCTACATATCTCCACTTCTCAAAAAGAATGGACATGGAGATGACATTAACTTTCACAGTGCTTTTTCACATGAATTTTAAAATCAAAAGTCAAAAATACTCTTAAAAAAAGATTCAAACTTTTGTGTATTTAGCGTGATATCCCGGTTAAAGCATATGTAAAAATCGCCGGAATCATTGAAAAGGCGTAAAATCTCGTCGATTAACCGTATCGTGTTTCCTTTACCCGTAACATACTGTATCACCTTTTTTTGCGAATTTTTTATTTTTTCCAGTTTTGAAGAAGGAGCATCCAGCTGCAAAACAATCCGTTTCCTGTACATCACATTGTTCATAAACTTACAATCTTACTGCTGCAGTTAAATTTATCTATGTAAACATCCTCATATCTTCCCCATGCCTTTTCCTGTTCCTCTTTCCTCTCCCAAAAAAAAAAAAAAAA